TCATAGCTCACTGCAGCTTTGAACTCCTAGACTCAAGCAATCCTTCTGCCTCAGTCTCCCGAGTAGCTGGGATTACAGGTGCCCACCACCATGCCCAGATGGGTTTTTTAGCTTTTGTAGAGACAGGGTCTCACTATGTTGCCCAGGTTGGTCTTCAACTCCCAGCCTCAAGGGATCCTCCCCCCTTGTTCTCCCAAAGTGCTGGGATTTACAGGTGTGAGCCACTGCATCCAGCCTTTTTAAAAATTTTTATGCAGTAAAATTTATCAATCTTTATGCATCAAACTTATTTTTTTAAGTAGGTTGAATGAGTCATAGTTAGAAAGTCCTTCCCCACTCAGAGGTTACAAGAGTATTTCCCTCATTTTTTCTATTATTTTTCTGGTTTTATTTTTTGTAGTTAAGTCATTGATCCATTTGGAATTTACTATAATGTACAGTGTAAGGTAAGAATCCAACCATATTTTTTTCAGATCCTGGGTTTCCTGATACAGTACCATACATTGAATAGTTCATCTTTTACCCATTGATTTTATATGTCATACTTATCATACATTAAATTCCAAGAAGCCATCCCTGCTTTCTACCCTTCTCTTATAAAGAGTGATATCTCACTCCTCTTAAATATATGGACTTATCTATGTGTTTCTGATGGTCAATCTTACTCCCGGTCTTACAGCTATTTTAGATCTGTTTTATATTTTCTACTAAATACTAAGCTCCTTAGGGGAACAATTTACAGAAAGGCCAAAAAATACAGTAGTTAGTAAATAAATTTTTAAGCAAAAGAAGAAAAGACAATTGAAGGCTCTTGTGTTGCCAACTGCCTGCCCCAGGCAAGAGCCTACACCCTGCTCCATCCACTAAGGTGCTCATTCTCCTGCCCTGGGCTTGGAGTAGATAAGGTGTCTATCCACTTTCACCAGCAGGAGAGGTAGAACATGGCCTAAATGGCAAAGGACCTGTGTCCCAAGGTAAGATAACCTCCCAGGTCTGATTGCATCATTTAGCGAGATACCCAAGTGGCCCATCTGTGCTTCCTTTTTTTCCCAGGGGAGATCCCAGATCTCTACTCTGATGATGAAGTTGAAAACATCATAAGCAAAGTGAGGAATGAAGTCAAGAGCCAAGGTCTGGTTGACAACAGAGAGAACTGCTGGAAGTTCTTTATAGATCGAGTCCGGCTACAACTGAAGGTAAAGAGGGTCACTGACAGGGCTAGGCAGGGACCAGGATGGTTCATGGAAGCTCCTACTGATATTTTGGACATGGGTGTCCTCTGATTGTCTTGGGAGTGGGCGGTGAGGGTGCAGCGCCCTTCTCAGCCTAAGTAACATTGCAAGGATGCCCCTGTCATCTGCTCTATGGGCAGAGGCCTCCCTCTTGCGTTGTGCAGTCCCGGCATCCTTGCTGAGTTGGCGGAAAGGCTGGCTAGCACGTGCAGAGTTGCCTCCATTGGAGGGACTTCACAATTTTCTGGAGATAGCCCCACACCATGTCTGCCTCTCTGTGAGTATTTCTCTGATACTGTCTTGGTCCTCCCCACCCTTCTGACTTCTCAGGTGACTCTCTGTTTCTCTCCCGTGGGGAACAAGCTGAGGGTCCGCAGCAGGAAGTTCCCAGCCATCGTGAACTGCACGGCCATCGACTGGTTCCACGAGTGGCCTCAGCAAGCGCTGGAGTCTGTCAGCCTCCGCTTCATGCAGGACACAGAGAGCGTTGAGGTGCGAGGGAGAAGAAGGGACTCCTAAAGGTCCTTCCCACCCGAGAGTACAAGGAATTCCATGCCCAGAATGTCAGGGTTAAAGATCAGGCTGAAATAGAGTTGCTGGAGCACAACTTTCCACATGGTGAAGGAATAAGGTCTCTTTACTTCCTGCTCTTTGATTTCAGCCCACAGTGAAGCAGTCCATTAGCAAGTTCATGGCCTTTGTCCACACGAGTGTCAACCAGACATCCCAGTCTTATCTGAGCAATGAGCAGCGCCACAACTACACAACCCCCAAATCCTTCCTGGAGTTCATCAGACTCTACCAGAGCTTGTTGCGCAGGAACGGAAAAGAGCTCAAGTCCAAGACGGAGCGGCTGGAGAACGGGCTGCTGAAGCTGCACAGCACCTCTGCCCAGGTGAGCCACGCACCTCTCTGCCACCCGCAGGGCACTGGAGGATCACAGTCAAGATCTGAAAATCATCTCTGGCTTCCTCTGTCATCAGAAACAGTAGCAAAAGTTAAGGCTGAGCTCCCTCAGCAGAAGGGCACATCCTCACCCTCAGGGCTGATCTCCTCTCCTGGCTGCTGGAATCCCCTAGTCCCCTGAAGTACCTCCTGTCTTTCTTTATTCCTCTTTGTAATTGCAATCTCTCCTCCTTTTCTTTCTTTTTCTTTTTCTTTCTTTCTAAGACAGGGACTCCCTCTATTGCCCAGGCTGGAGTGCAGTGGTGTCAAAAGCCTCTAACTCCTGGCCTCAAGCCAGCCTCCCACCTTAGCCTCCCACAGTGCTGGGATTACAAGCATGAGCCACCGCACCTGGCCAATCTCCTCCTTTTCCTCTGCTTTCCTTTCCTCTCCAGTTCTCTTCCCTTCCATCTTCAAACTGAAAGAAATGAATGATGGAGAGAAATGAGCGATGGTTGCAGGATTATTTCAATTTTCTTTTGTTTCTCTTGTCTTCCTATACTATCTGTCAAAGAGCCATTGGAACCTCACTTCTTCAACAAATCCTGTCTTGTTTCCTGCATTTTCTTACCTATTTCTAAGTAGTTAGCCATCAGAAGAAGGCTCTCTGTTATATTTTTCCATTAACTCTTTCAAATGAAACAAGCTTATTTCAGTCCATCTGCTAATCTTCCCTTGAGAGTTGGGGCAACTCTGGCACCTGCCTTACCCCTGCTCCCGCCTGTCAAGTGTTGCTGCTCCCTCAACAGTCCCTTTCTGCTCTCTGTCTAGCAGCAGCAGGGCCGGCCTCTCCTTAAGGTGGTGAAATTTCATGGAACTGCACAATGCAACTAACATTGTGATCCACTTAATTCTTGGAAATCACATGCTCCTGTCAATATAGAAGCTTTTCATTTGCTCAGAATTTTGGCCTTGGAATTGCTCTATTGAATTTTCTCCTTTTGACTTGTCTTTTTTCCCCACTTCAGTTTCCTGATTAGTGGGGTGCAGTGAGCCCTTGCAATCTGTACACATAATCTTTCTTCTGCCCTGGAAATTTTCCTTCTACTATATGGTTTTGTCCATCTGGTCTGGCCTCTCCTCTAGGAGCAACGGTTAGCCAGACGGGGTCCCCGTGCCCGGAGCTATTATGTTCTCATGTGTTGCTTTCATCCCTTTGGCCTTTTTCTCTGCATTCTAGGAAAGTTTTTCAAGTTCATCCTCACCAAAACTAATATAATAGTGTGTGATATTGCTTCTGCCTTGTAGGCTTGCAGTGAAGACTTTAATTATGCTATTGCATTTTAATTTTCTCACAACCCTTCCTCATTGTATCCCTCTCCTTTTTCAATGCATCCTATTGCTTTCTTATTTCAGCCTATTTTTCTGCAATTATTTCATAGAGACCACTCTGATGATGCCAGACAGTTTCTTTCATGTTTTTTTAGGTCCAGTAATGGATCATTCTCAGAGCTGCATTCTTCTTCATCTTCTAGACATTATTCCTTTCCTTGTTCTGTGCTTTTAGATGGACCTTTTCTTTTTCTTTAATTACCTTTAGGCAAGGTGAGATCAGTTCCAACTCAACGTTTGCCAACAAATGGCATGTGCAAATTGTCTGTGACACTACTGTCTTTCCATTTGTGTGATGATCCAAACCCCTTCTTAGGGCTCTAGTTCAGGGCAGGATGCCATACACAGATCCAAGTCTAGGTCCTAGCAGTTTACCTGGTGTACACCTTTGCTATGGAAAGGTAGCATCTTCTCTCCTGATCACTTTCAGTTTCTCCCTATCTCTGAACTTGTAGAAAACAGCATGGAATAAAATCTCAGAATGCAATACCACCAGATTTGTTTTAAAACATCTCCTACTTCGTCCTCTTCCTTTCTCTCCCCATCACCTGCAGTGCCCTGAGAACATTCTACATCCCCTCCAACCCCTATTCTACCCCTACCCATTCATCCTCCACGAATCACTGATCCATGTACATAAAGGATGATTGCCAGGGAGTAAGAAACGGCAAAGATATGCTCACCTCTCACAGAGCAGACCTCAGTATTCTAGTTTTTACTGTTAACAGAAATAAACCAAACTCTGCGAAATAATTTAAAGAGGTTTATTCTGAGAAAATACAAGTGACCATGGCCCAGGGATACACAAGCCAAAGAAGCTTTCAGTAAGTGGCCCAAGTTGGTTGGATTAGAGTTTGGTTGTACACATTTCAGGGAGGCGGAAGTCACAGGCAAAGACATAAATCAATATATGGATGGCATACATTGGTTCAGCCTGAAAAGGTGGGGTATCTTGAAGTGGGGGGCTTGCAAGTCATAGGTGGGTTTAGAGATTCTTTAACTGGCAATTGGTTGAGAGAGTTAAGCATTGTCTAAGACTTTGGAGTCAGTAGGAAGGATGCCTAAATTAAGATAAGGGAGGCTGCTACTGTCATGTGATACCACACCAGCAAAAAAAAAAAAAAAAAAGATCTGTTTAACTAGATTTTATGGATTGTGAAGCATGTCTTAACCCTTGGCTTGCATGGTCTTAGGTCTTGTTTCCAATTTGGTATCTTATTTCCACAAAGAGTCTGTCAGTCTTATGATCTCTATTTTAATATTAACGTTGGGTCAGTTGTTCTAAACTCCAAAAGGAAGGAGTTAACAAGGCATGTCTGACCTCCCTTTCCGTCATGGACAGAAACTCAGTTTTAATGTTTTGTGGGGTCCCCTTGACCAAGAGGGGGTCTGTTCAGTCAGTAGGTGGGCTTAGGATTTTGTTTTTATTTTACAGTACAGATCCTGAGTCTTTGAGCAGACGCTGTAGAAAGCACAATGTCTGTGCTCCTGTTGTAGGTGACCTCTAATTAACAAGGAGAGGCCTGATTATACCCTTTGGCGAATCCAGCTCTGTCTGCGCATAGTTAGTGGAGAATTCTTCCAAGTCCTGGAATCAGGTTTAGTATCTGAAACCACAAAAAAAATCCACCTTCTCCTTCTGCAATCTCTATTTCCCCAGTTCCCTGGGCCAGAAACTGGGGGATTACCTTGGACTCTTCCCCTTCTCTCACTTCCCACATTTAAAAATTAACGATGTGCTTTCTAAATCTCTCCCAGATCTGTCCCTCCTGCTGTATCCCCAGACTCAACGTCCAGATTTAGACGCTTCTCGCGTGGATGACTTGCATAAACTGAACTCCCCACTCTGCGTTGCCCGCTACCTCTTGCATCATCCACTCAGGCCGCAATCCTTGCGAGTATCCCGGACTCTTCTCACTCCTCTCCCTCTATCACAGCCATGCCCAAACCACCCGAAAGTCACTACTGGCTCTAACTTCAAAGTCTGCCCCAGAATCCCACCGCGTCTCACTGTCTTCCCTGCCACTACCTGGGTCTGAGCCACTGCCATCCTCTCCCTGGGTAGCTGGGTTACCCTTCTAACCAGCTCGTCTGCTTCCACCCCCCCCCCCCACTTCCCGGTAGTCTGTCATCAGCTAAGCAGCCAGAGTGATCGGTTTAAAACATAAATCATGCCACGTCACTCTGCTGCTCAAACCCTTGCAATGGCCCCCATGTCCCTCATCCCAGTGTCTCCCGAGGCTCCTGGCCAGCCCTGCCTGCTCCCTCTTTGTGACATGCCTCTCTGCCACTCCTCGGGCACACCAGGCCTTTGCATCGGCTGTTCCCTCTGCCCTCTGGTCTCCCTGTGGCTCCATTCTTTGCTCAGATGCCGCCTTCCCAGTGAATCCTACCCTGATGGCCCATTTTAAATTGCAGCCCCTCACCACTCCTGATCTCCTGACTCCACTGTTTTATCGTTTTCCCATAGCACTTAACTCTCATCTAGCATGCTTTATAATGTGTTTAGTTGTTGCGCTTATTGTTGTTTTACCTATCTCCATCCGTTGGATACGAGATCTTTGTCTTTATTGTAGCCCAAGTGCCCGATACACTGCCCTGGACAGAGTGGGCACTCGTTAAATATTTTTCGAGTGAATAAATTACTGAATCATCAGCATTCAGCTTAGTCTCCCTGACCATGTGCTGGTAGCACCCTGGACCAGCACTCTCTGTATATACTGCGCCGTCCCTCCCTTCCTTGATTCTACCACACTGTACCCCGGAGTTAAACAGTACTATTTGCAGTTGCCCCAAAACTCCACAACTGGTTCACATCTCTGTGGTTTTATTTATGCCCCCGCCTTGTCAGCTTACCACTGCCAAGACCTAAACAATTTGCTGCCCCCCCATGAAGCCCTTTCTAAGCTCTGAGAAGCTATGCATTCTCTTCTCTGTGGTTCCATCCTTGAATTATGCTCATCCTCTGCACACGTCATGCTATATTATTGTCAGTCCTTCAAGGGCAGAGACCGGGGTTCGTTTATCTTTTATCATCAGGGACTGGCACATGATAGGTGTTCTATAAATGAATGAATAAATAGATAAGTGAGTAGATGATGGATGGATAGGCAAATAAATGAGTGAACAGTTCCAAAATCACCTATAAGCTCAGAGTGCAAGTGGAGAATGACTCTCAGCAATACTGTGCACATGGTGTTTATGCCACAAATACTTATCGATGGTATAATGATGATTCTTCTAGTAAAAACGGTATCCGGGGTTTCTAACTCTGGTATAAACTCTTCATCTGCAATTGTTCCTTTGGTAAAAAAGGACTGAAGTAGACCATTATAATACTTGTAAAAGGGTAATGAATTATTCCGTGCTAGTATAATTATACCGTGCTAGTTACTACTTAACTATGACAGTTTTCAATGTTCATAATCTGGTGAGAGTAGGCTAAATGAATCTTACAGCCCTGGCTCAGATACAACACAAATTTATTTAGCAATAATAGTTGTATTAGAAGTAGTAATGATAATTGTAATAATGACAAAATTAACAATTATATAATAAACCTCATAAGCCTTAGACTTATAATTTCATGCTCAGAGCTGATCAAAAATATAACTTTATTTTTCTATAACTGAATTCAACTTAGCTCTGGATCCATCTTATTCATTTAAGGGTAGAAAGCTCTGAATTTTGCATTTCAGCTTGATTTAGTCACTTCAGGTTAAAAACTTAGTCTTTGGAGGGTGGTCAGTTCAGAGTTCAAACTAGCTCAAGGCCATTTCCTTCCGAAGGGTCTTTTCCTCCTTCTCCTCTCTGTGGTGGTGTCAAGTTTGAGAAGGTAGCTGATGGTTGGTCCCCCAGTTCTCACTGGCTCTGACGACAGGTGGCTAGTCCTACTAGGTCTTTAGGCGGCATTTCTGTCTTTACATCAGCATCAGCCGAAGTCACAGTTGGTGCAATTGTGTCCTTTCTCTTGGCACCATCAGGGCCCCTAGCCTTGACTGAGGTCTCACTTGAGCCTCACTGGTACTATTCAGAGGCCTCTGTCCCACTCACTTCTGCGTCTGACTCAGACATCTTCATGAGGAAGGGGAGGATGAAGGATTGAAGAAATATTCATAAATGGACTAATGGCCATTGCCAATTCCCTGCATATAGGATTTACTCCACAAATCTTAATCTGGAAACTTTTAAATTCAGTTTAAGGTTTTCAAATAGTCTCAGGCCACCAAACTTACCAGAAGTTGACAGCTTAATAACTTATGATGATGTATTAGTCAGGATTGCAAGTGAAAAAAATATAACTCAAATTAATTGAGCAAGAAGAAAAAAGGTGAAAAAAATGTAACTCAAATTCACTGAGCAAGAAGAAAAAAAAGCAAAAAAGAAAGAAAGGAAGGGAAGACAGGAAGGGGGGAGGGAAAGCGGAGAGAGAGACAATCTTGAGATTACATGATACAGTTATCAAGACACTTGATGACAGTTGACTGAAATCCAACCAAACTTAGGTAAAACAACAAAACAAAATAAAAAGAAATAAATTGGTTCATGTAACTGAAAAGTCAGAGGTAGAGCTTAATTTGGACAAAGCTGAAGCTAGATACACACGGGTATCCTGTACATCTTGGTTGGCCCGTGGTCACGGCTGAACAACCTCTGTGACTCGGATACTCTCGTTGGCCAAGCCAGGGTCACATGACAACTGGAACGAACCCCACCCAAACTGTAAGGACTTGGGCAGGGGGAGTTCTCCGAAGGAAACTCTATGTTGCTAGAATAGGAGTGAACAGTGTTTATTAGGCAGGCAAACGTAACACATATAGACAGGAAACAACTGCACCTAAGAGGATTTCCTGAAAATCCAAATTTACATCAGAAAGTGCCGGGTGACTACATGGACACAGAGCAAGCAGGGCGATATCTCTAGGCCCCTGTCTTAGTCCATTTGTGTTGCTATAAAGAGATAACTGAGGCTGGGTAATTTATAAAGAAAAGAGATCTATTAAGCTCCTGTTTCTGCAGGCTGTCCAAGAAGCATGGCACCAGCATCTGCTCCTGGTGAGGGCTTCAGGCTGCTTCCACTCATGGCGGAAGTGGATGGGGAGCGAGAGAGAAGGCAAGAGAGAGAGGAGAGGGAGGTGCCAGGCTCTTTTCAATAATCAGCTCTCATGGGAATAGAGGGAGAATGCACTCACCCCTCTACCAGGGAGGGCATTAATCTATTCATGGGAGATCTATCCTCATGACCCAAACCCGTCCCACTAGTTCCCACCTCCAACATTGGGGATCGAATTTCAACATGAGGTTTGGAGGATCAAATATCCAAGCTGTAGCAGCCTCTAACCTTCAGTGGAGCATTTATTGCTTCTGATTGCCCTGGGCTTCCTCTCCTTCTCTGGCAACTGGTGATGTGATCATGTCTTTCCCCAAAACCTAGAGCTGCTTCTCCACGTGTACTTGCCATCAAACTGGCACTGACTGATCAACACTAAGGTGCTCACACAGTAGTAATATTCTCTGGGGGTGGGGGGCTTGGGGTGGGTAAACTCACAACTAATGGATGTGGTGAGCCTTGTAGGGGGGGAAAGGGCACATCTCAAATCGTGGTTGGCATGTGGCAAAGTCATAACATGTAACCAAAATGTTTGTACCCCATAATTTCCTGAAATAAAAAAAAAAAAGCAGTTCTCCCCTATAGGCAATGCAGGGAAAACCCATGCACTTTTGTTGCAGAAAATACACATTCTCGGCTCTTCTAATGTCTTTTCAACTTCACTCCCAAGGTCTCTGGAGCTCTGGAAGAAAATCCTGGGTAGCCTGACCACTCTCTTTAGCATCATGTCCTTGGTCCTTGCAGGAGGGAGGGCTGCCCGCCACCACTGTGTTGTCAGCCAACTCGGTTGGCACCAGCCACTTACCATGCATGACAACGATTCAGGAAGCCAGCAGAGTGGAGGACAAGGGTCTCCGCTGTGTCTGTGGCACTCTCCCTCTCACTCTTCTCACCTGGATTTGGGGGTGTCTATATAAGGAGAGATCCAAAGTGTGGCTCAAATGTTTTAAATAAGGAAGAAGGAGAAGAGAAAGATGCAAACTGACCTATTTCAAGTTCCCATTCCATTGCAGAAAAACCATAAAATGAACTTGAGTTGTGCCTTCTCTATAGCCGGGTTGGGAACAGCCTAATTCCTACTGGTGGGACCCGCCTGTCACTCCATGTCACAGCTTAAGAACTATAAAGCTCCTGTTCACAGTGCTGGTAATTATTTACCTTGGGCCTCAGGTCATAAGCCATATCTGCAATCAACACAACAACAACCAAAAATTTAAAAAAACACTTCAATTTTCTCAGATCTCCCAAGATTTAAAAAGGAACAAAAAGTTACTGGTGTGTTTGCTGACTGGAGTGATTATGCGGCTCAATCGTTTTGATTTACAATTGCATCTTTGTCCTTGTAGAAATAACTCTCTGCAGCTGAACAACAACGGGAGATGGAAACGGATTAACCTTCCAACATGTGAATATAAGACGAGTTCTAGGGAGCCGGCATTCATTCGAGGTTAACACAAGTCTCCCGTTTCTATGAATACACAAAATTAAAGAGCATTCTCTTTTTTACACTTTCCTTTTCTTTTCTTTTGATCTGCCATGAAAAGGGAATTATCAGCAGTGTCTAAGCCTCAGTTTTATTTTCCCCTTGTGCATTTTGCATCATAAAGCATTTGAATCTGTTTGACGTGTTCCAGGAGCTCTGAAGTAATCTTTCGTTGTCCCGTAAAATAGACTGCAGGAAAATGAGAGGCGAGAGGTCATTCTGGAATGTAAAGTTTATGGGCTGTATTGCAAATGCAAATGGCCGTTTTACTTTCCAGAAATAAACAGGTCTGTGTCTTCTCTTTGCATCTGAAAAGGCCATCCCCCTAGGCCAGCGGTTCTCAAACCTAGACAGGCACCAGAATCACAGCTGAAACACAGATTGCTGGGCCCCGCCCCAGAGTTTCTGATTCAGTACCTCTGGATTAGGGCCTAGGAATTTGCATTTCTCACCAGTTCCAAGGTGATGCTTATGCTGGGGTCCAGAGAGCACCATCTGAGAATCACCGTGCTCTGCTAATCTGAAGGTAGATAGAAAATCATTCTTCTCTCTCCAGAGCACAACACAAATAGATGGTTTCCCAGGTGCTGATGTTCCCATCACCTCATTACCGCCTCCAGACAACATGTGACTGCAGAGGATGGATGGGGGATTCAGCTGGCCTGGGCCATTGGGATTTTTGTTGTTCCACTTAATCTGGTCATCTATTTCTAGTAAAAATTATATAAGTAAATGGAGACAACAAAATGAGAACAATCAAAGGCTATTTATTCAGAGCTTGCAAGGCAGTCAGCCACCATCACTTATGTTTAGCAGACACTCAAAAGCAGGCAGGAAGCTGGGAAAGCTTTGTAGTGAAGAAGGAGGAGGCCTGTTGGAGAAGGTGTGCCCTGTTGGAGGCTGTCCACATGGGGAAGTGGTGGCAGGCTCACTAGAAGTCGGGCGTCCCATGGGATTACTTAAGGGAGCATGTTTGGACTTCTCTGGTTGATCCAAAGTTGGAAGCAGGGATAAAAAATCAAGGAAGTTGTTCATTATGAATCAAGTCCTGGCCATTCTGGGCCAATTGCTGTAGGAGTTATTGTCTGTCCAGCTGGGTTGTTACTAGGGATAGTCTGACTTCCTACAAGCCTGGCTTACAGCAGGCTTGTTTCCCGGGCTGGTTATTGTAGATGGAGGGCTAGTCTCCTGGGCAGGCTGCTGCAGGCGTGGGTCAGAGTTCTACTTTTACATATGCTCTGGTCATTGTCCACCTGTATATTCACACTCTCAGGATGCAAAGTAGACATTCCCTTTTTTCCTCTTGCTAAACCCTTGGCCCACTCCACATTGGTCAATTTTAATTAAACAATGGCCGATCTTTATGAAGGGCCTGCTGTATAAAAAGTGTTATGTTAGGCACAGAAGTTCTATAAGACATAGGTACCAGCGTCGGCGAGAAGCAGCCCAGGTCATTTGGGCATCAAGAAGAAAGACCGAGGCAGGTGTTGTTTGGAATATTTCAGCACATTTACTGCAGAGAGCCAGGGATGCCCAGTGTTCTTTCCTTTCCCAGGTCAGGGAGCTTGGTCCCACCCGAGAACATAGCTTTGTGCCTTGGCATCAGGAGTCGTCGCGTGTTCTGCCCTGCAGACTTGGCCCCAGGGCTCTGCCTGCCGTGTCTCTGGTCACCGATCCTGATAAGCTCCGCCTTCTCCAATGCAGGTGGATGCTCTGAAAGCCAAGCTGGCAGCCCAGGAAGCGGAGCTCAAGCAGAAGAATGAAGACGCAGACAAACTGATCCAGGTGGTGGGCGTGGAAACAGATAAGGTGAGCAGAGAGAAAGCCCTCGCAGACGAGGAGGAGCAGAGGGTGGCCCTCATGATGCTGGAGGTGAAGCAGAAGCAGAAGGACTGTGAGGAAGACCTGGCCAAGGCCGAGCCGGCACTCACGGCAGCTCAGGCTGCTCTCAACACCCTCAACAAGGTAGGAGGGCAGCGGCCGCGACTGCTTACCCCCAGGGACAGACTGGCCCAGAGATTGCCCAGACCCTGCTATTCCTCAGAGATGCCAGGGCAAGATTGGGAGGGGTTAGGGTGGGCCACAGCTGTCACTGGTTTATTCATTAAGTGAACAAACGTTTATTTAAACTATCTGTTAGGTTCCATGAGCTGTCAATGAAATCCCGGGGATGTGACTCTTAGAACCAACCAGTACATGAGAGGTCAACTGGTCTAACCTCCTGACTTCACAGATGAGAAAACCAAGACCCAGAGAGGACTGGCTTGCCCCGAGTCACAGACTTAAACATTAGGGCGGGAACTTGAACTCACATCTGCATAATCCAGTCCCAGAGACATTCCTGCTGGGGTAACCCGGGGCCATTTGCCGATTAGGTTCTACAGGACACACGTGCTGTTCAAAGCCCTTACCTTAAATGTGTGAGACATGAGACTAAAATGAGGTGTGGGCTCCAAAATATATCTTTTTAAAAATCTACAAAATCAAAGGTAGTAAATATTCGATTCAGTGGCAACAATATAACTGTGTGTCAACTAAAGTCAACTCACATACATAACATGTGGTGGAACAGGCGTGACTTGAGATGCATGCGTGGGGCAACTGTATTTCGGTTCCCTTTACATTTACTCTGAGCAGAGGAGAGGCAGGGCAGGTGGCTCGCGACTTCTTTCTTTTCGTATTTTTCACAATTAACCATCTTTCCCATTTGGATGGCTGCGGATGAGAGGCAAGGGTGGAAGGAAAACAAAGAGGGAACGTCAGATTCATGTCATTATGAGTCGGCATCAGAGCTGGACCAAAAGCTGACCTTTTTCCTATTGGGATAACCATGTAGGTCTTTTGGAGACCCCCCCCAGTCAGTGGGGCCCTCGCCCCTATAGACTGCTTTCTCCTCCTTCCCTGGAGAGTCTGGCAATTCCCTTACCCCCTTCAAACGAACCACTTGGGCAGCATCTAAGACAACCTGTGGCAGCTCAGCCATGCAAGTGGCTTGCCTCTGGTCCACTGGGGACACCTGTCTCTCCTTTCTCTAAACAAGCTCTGAGAGTGTTGGCCACCCAAGGCAGCGTTCTCTCCCTAGCTCCACAGTCTGGGGGCTAGCTAGCTACTCTTACACATTCTACGTTTCTGGGGTGTGAGTTAGACCCCCATCCACCGTGTCACTCAAACTGCAGGGGAAATATATCAAGCTCGCCGATTAGTCTCCCTAAAGCCCCTCCTTCCAGATGTTATGTGAAAGGAGTAGCTGCCCCACATCCTCCCTTAAAGGCAGAGTGGGTGGGACGCACCAACAATTCTCACTACAAGTTCCCTCTTCATCTCCAACTTCCTCATTCCTTTCTATCCTCAATGAGAGTGAAGGGTTTAAAAGTCAAAAATAAAGTCTTCTGAAAACTTCTTTGAATTAGTTCTGCATAGTCACCATACAGCTCACACTTTGGAAGGCAGCGTCTATTGGCTGAGGACCTCTGCAAAACTGAGATAGAACCAGGGACATTGTAAAATCCTGTTACTTGTGATTATATAAAAGTAATATTTAATGCAAGATGTGCGTGCATTTTAGTATTTTCTTATGATATGGGATGGGAGAACCCCTAAGAGTAAGCACGTCCAGGGCCAATAAAGCCCTTAAACGGGCCTCTACCTCAACATAAAACACGGGATTTCTCCATTAGGAACATGCTATATTGTCGGGTAGACCAGGAATTGGAGGCATGGCCCACTCATGCCACCACCTCTGAACCTTCCCATACAGCCAGGCCCGGCTCCTCCCTGGCCCTCACAGCCCGCTGATTTCAACCTTCAGGTCTTTGATCAAACTGTCCCACCCTCCTCACCAGCCAGGAATCCTTCTCCTTTCATTTTATTCCATCTAAATCCTACCCATATTTCAAAACCAAATTTACATTCCAGATCAATCTCTTCTCTTTCTGATTTCTAGAACACAAAATATGGAAACATTTTATTTATACACTCCTCGCATCTTGTTCACTGATTATTTCTTGCCAAGAAGACTAATGTTTTCCATAAGATCTTTTGACACAGGCTTTATATTTCCAAAGATGACCTGAGTCCAAATACTGGCTGCACTATTTCGCTAACCGTGTGGCTCCAGGAATGATTTTATCTTCTCTGAGCCTATGTTTCCTTGTCTGTAAATTGAAAGTAATGGTAATATAGTCCCTAACACATTGTTATAAGGATTAAATGAGATAGTGTATGAAAGGCGGCTAATAGGTGGCAGCTACTCAGTAAATATTTGTTGTTGTTGATCTTGTTGTTTATATTGTTATAATCAGTAATCACTTCGGTTTCCACAAAACTGGAAACAAAGTGAACACTCATAGATACTTTTGGTTAAGTTGTTGGTGGGTTAATTGATTGATTGATTGATTGAAATAAATATAGACATGTAACTCAAGAAGGGATGAGATAGGATTTTGAAAAAAGCACTGGATTTGAAGTCTAGATACCACTGTCATGAAGGAAGTGAAACCCATTTTTAATGAGTGCCTACTATGTGCCAGGCAATATGATAGGTACTTTCCTCTAGCTGTGTGTCTTCGCACAAGTCACTGAAGTTCTTGGTCCCTCAGTTTATTTTCCGTATTACCAAGAAAGGGAAAACAGGAATTAATGGGTTCTTTATTTGACACTCCCATCCAATCTACTAGCAAATTACTTTCAAAATATAACCAGAATTCAAATACTTTATATCCTCTTTACCGTCACTGGGATCTAAGCTACCCTCATCTTTTCCTTGGCCTATTGCAGTAGCCTCTCCGTTTGTCTCTCTTCTTCCACTCTTGCTCCAACGCCACCTTTACCCAGGACAGCAGTCTGAGTAATCTTTGTTAACCCAAAGTTTGACCATGTTATCCCTCTATTTAGAGGGATAGCCCATCACATTCAGAATAAGTTCCAAAGACATCATCATGGCACACAAGGCCCTCCACAATCTTGCCTGTGCATCCTGTTCTACTGCTCCAGTTACTACTCTCTGGTCATTCTGTTCCACCCACACCAACCTTCTTGCTGTGTCTCCAACACCCCAAGCACAGTCCTACCCAAAGATTGCCTCTGCATGGAAGCTCGTCCTGCAGCTACCCCCACAGTTCCCTGCCCTTCTTCTCTCAGGTATTTGCCCAAAAGTTGCCTTCTCAGGGAACAAATAATAAAGGTTTCTATTAATTTCAGGGGGAAAGATTAAAGTATACAAGAATGAAAATATAATCCAAGGTGAGCAATATTTATAATCATAATCATGTACTTACTGGATGTTAATTTAACTAAAAATTTGGTATAACCATTACAGGGGGGCCATTGAGAGGGAAAGGAGGTCAGTAGAAAGAACAAAATATTCACACTCTATAGTAGGGAAACACTTGATAATGTCTAAAATGAAAACAGTAGCAGCATAAGCATGTTGCTTATTGGTAAGGAGTAAAATCTAGAAGCAATGAAGGAAGAGATTGTGTGAGTGGTGGCTTCTGGGGAGCTGGAGATGGGGCGAAGTGAACACGTGTTTTGTTCCAAGCCTTATAGCTCTATGAGAGTTTGCAAACTATGTGCATGCACTGCATTAACAGAAATAAAACTTAAAAATTTTTAATGACTTGAGAGAACAGCAGGTATAGCTAACTGCCTGGCCAGGTAGGAAATAGAAAGAGAAAGCCCAGTAAGCAATTGCTACGAGGATGAGGACTTTTCTAGATGGAGAAGGTGGTGGGAAAGAATATCCTAGGATCGATCCTAGGTCATTGCAAAGACCTGGATGCATGAACAGGTGTGGTGTGTCTGAGCTGTGGGTGCTTCAGAAGGTGATGTAGAGGAGAGGATCTAAAGGTGAGTTGAGCAAGACCATTAGCAGTCCTGTGGCATCACTAAGAAGCTGAACTGCTGCCCAGCATTTACATTCCACAGGTTGAGACCAATTAATGGGCCTCAAATAGCATTCTGGGTTTTTTGACGAGCTAGAATGGACCAGAGCACACCACATGCAGTAAGGACAAGTATTGCTTCAGGAACCGAGGACCCTGGACTATCCCCAAACCCTTCTGCACTCCCAGAACTCTAGTATTTAAAGATCATTTCCCTGTGTTCTCATCATTTTCAAAGTTAACAATAAATCTTTAGTGAATACATAAAGAATACCTATAAATCACAGCTTGGTAGTAAGTCTCTGCACATTTTAAGTCTCCGTTTTGTCAGTTTTATTTTGTTTTTATAGATGAACTGAAATAAATCCAATATAAGTTTTTCTGCCTTAATTTAGGAATGGTTTATCTTGCAATTTTATGGCATCCCCTCCCCCCCATGCACACAAAATTACTTGGAGTTTTCTATTTATTCCACATGCATTTTTTATAGTGAACTATTTTTTCTTATACAAATAGTAGGTAATAGCATTTTTACTGTTAAAAATAATTCAAATATGGCCGGGCGCGGTGGCTCACGCCTGTAATCCTAGCACTCTGGGAGGCCGAGGCGGGCGGATTGTTTGAGCTCAGGAGTTCGAAACCACCCTGAGCAAGAGCGAGACCCCGTCTCCACTAAAAAAATGGAAAGAAATTAATCAGACAACTAAAAATATATAGAAAAAATTAGCCGGGCATGGTGGCGCATGCCTGTAGTCCCAGCTACTCGGCAGGCTGAGGCAGAAGGATCGCTTCAACCCAGGAGTTTGAGGTTGCTGTGAGCTAGGCTGACGCCACGGCACTCACTCTAGCCCGGACAACAAAAAAAAGCGAGACTCTTGTCTCAAAAAAAAAAAAAAAAAAATTCAAATAGTATAGATTATACAGGGTCAATATAAACCCACCCTTATTTTCCACTCCAGCCCTGGTTCTCTCCCAAAAGAGAACCCCTATAATAATTTGAGGAATGTCTATTCCAGCAATTTTTCTATGCACTTATATTTGTAATAAGGCACATATAAAATATATCTTAAATACAAATGGATA